AGTGATGGCGCATGTGCTCGTGGGCGATTATCATTCGAGTGGATTTGATTTTTATCCTGAACGGATCTGGGGTCCGGTTTTTCTGGGTCTGCAGGTTAATTCAGCTTGGTGTGGTATAACCTTGTCGTAACTGGTAGTGCCACCTATGTCAGCAGAAAGAGAGTTTATTTAACGAAATAGCAATTTGGAATTTGTAGCCGTTAGAACATGTAGTAATCACATTTTCTTTTAGGAAATTTTTGAAAAACATTTCAGTTATACGGAAATTTTGTTACAGATCTCTGTTTTTTGTGTTAAACTTATGAAAATTGTTTGTTTATTTGTCCTTCTGTAAACTCTTATGTTCACCTTGCCCTCAGTTTGAGGAGTGGCGCCTGGGACAGTTTCTGCGGTGCCTCTTGTGGACATTATGGCGTCTGAAGACAAGGAGAACGTTGTAGGTTGACTTTTGTTGTCGTTTATGGAGAGGTCTTGATTGTCTTCTAAGTTTTTTTGTGTCTCTAGGCTGATGAACCTTTACTTGTTCCCAATCCTCGAAGATTTGTCGTGATGCCAATACAATATCATGACATTTGGGAGTTCTATAAGAAAGCTGTCGCTTCTTTTTGGACGGTTGAGGAGGTTGATTTAGCGAAGGATCTTACCGATTGGGAAAATCTCAATGATGGTGAACGACACTTTATTTCGTATGTTCTGGCCTTCTTTGCAGCGAGTGATGGCATCGTTAACGAAAATTTAACCTTGAATTTTTGTAACGAAGTTCAAGTTCCTGAGGCTCGTTGTTTTTATGGAATGCAAGTGGCCGTTGAGAACATTCATTCTGAAATGTATTCTCTTCTGATCGATACATATGTCAAGGACCCGGCAGAGCGTGATTTTTTATTTAACGCCATTCAAACGCTGCCATGCGTCGCTAAGAAGGCGGATTGGGCACTTAAGTGGATCGCGAATAAGAGGGCATCGTACGCTGAGCGTGTGGTGGCTTTCGCTGCTATTGAGGGTGTTTTCTTCTCCGGTTCGTTTGCTTCTATTTTTTGGCTCAAGAAGCGTGGTCTCATGCCTGGTCTTACCTTCAGTAACGAGCTGATCAGTCGCGATGAAGGCCTTCACACCGACTTTGCGTGTCTAATTTTCAAGCACATTGTCAATAAACCTACAGCAGAAAGAGTGTATGACATTATGACGGAGGCCGTCAGCATAGAATGTGAATTCCTCACAGATGCCTTACCTGTCGATCTTATCGGCATGAATTGTCGCCTAATGTGTCAGTACATAAGGTTTGTTGCTGATCGGCTGCTTACGGAGCTGGGCTACGATAAGGTTGGTTTTAACCAGGACTTACATGATTTTTGTCTTTTCTTTATTGATTGAATCGTCGTTTTAGATATACAAGGACAAGAATCCTTTTGACTTTATGGAGAATATCTCACTCGAAGGGAAGACCAACTTCTTCGAAAAGCGCGTAGCTGAGTACCAACGCGCTGGTGTTATGTCGCGCATGCGGGGTGAAGACACTCACAAATTTACCACTGATGAAGATTTTTAGATGTTTTTACAATAAACGTTCGTATTAACTATGACTTTGGTGTTCTTTTTTTTACGGGTATTACGCCTTTGTCATGGTAACAGTAAATAGGCTAGCTTTTTGATTTGGATGAAAGACAACCTTTTGCTGTCCTGTTGAACCAAAGTCAAAGGTGGATCATGCCCATATGAGAAGTTACGAAGTAACATGTCAATGTAGGCACTGACTAATCCTTAGCTGGAGTGGGTCAGCTCCAACCAGGCGTGAAATGTACAATGCAGGGCTTAGGAGAAAGTCCGGCTTATGTATAGTTCCTGAAGCCTAAGCGGTGCATAATCAAAAAGGGCTAGGGCTCATGATCATGAGAACTCATCGTGGTAGTGTTAAGCTCCATATACGATTAGCATTGTTGGGTCACGGCCGACTCCTTACTGCATGACGTCATAATTGCGCACTTTCAGTGGATTGGCTCAGCCACACGACCTTGCTCTACGCAAGTGCACTAGGCCAGGAGGAATCTTCTGCCACGCTTTTCCACAATGCGGTTAGTGGCCAACCTCGTATACAATGGACAGTTATTTGCGCTGATCTATGATTCCTTACGTTATGGAGTAGACGAATAGCATCT